CCTTGCTTAGATCCTATTAGGCGGTAAACCTTGGGGACGTGAGAGGGAGAGCCCCTTCCTGTGATGTGGAAGATCCTCAGACAGGCTCTTCCAGATTGAAGGTAGTTCAATTCAACTCAATTCAAGTTTATTTGTGTAGCACTTTTCAGAATAATTGTTTTAAAGTGGCTTTACAAAGGTGAACAGTATTGCGTTACAATCAAAATCAGAAAAGTTAAAGTTATTAGTTACTATAACTTTAATTAAGTAACTAATTACTAATAACTTGATGATTTAAAAGTTGTTTATACATATATATATATATATATATAAAGCGTAGTAAACCTGCAGTTATATAGCAGCCAGGTGATGTATATGTGTACATGTTCAATGAAGTGTATTTGTGTGTTAAGTTGTCCTATATGTAGCACACACACACATCCTAAGCTATACAAAGAACCATCTAAAACAGAAGTATTTCTAACGAAGTGCCTGCTGTATAAAGAGAGGAAGAGTCTATTCTTCAGGTGGTTTGTCAATCCCACCTAACCCACTCCATCATACAGCACACTCACACATCCTACAGTAAAGTGATTAGGGATGGGTATCGTTAAGGTTTTAGCGATATTACTACTTTTATCGATTCCCATTATCAGTTCGGTACTTTAACGGTTCTCTTGTCTATATTTTTGTAGTGTTTTTTTTTTTTTAGAAAAAAAAAAACAAGTTGAACAGAATTAACAACACTTTGGGCCCTATCAAACACCTGGCGCAGTGTGGCGCAAGGCGCGGCGCAATAGTCTTTTGGTAGTTTCAGCTTGGCACAAGAGTCGCTTTGAGGCGTTGCGCTACGCTGTTTAAATAGCAAATGCATTAGCGCTCATTTGTGCGCCCATAGGCGTTCTGGTCTAAAAAGGAAGGCGTTCTTAGGCGGACCGCTGGCCCGTTGCTATTTTGAGAAACTATAATAGATTTTTCATTTGACCAAAACTAACCCGGTCTAAACTCTGGCGCAGAGTTGCGCCTCGCTTACACACTGCTTAATACGCACAAGAGAGCAATAGGCAAATATCTTTACATATGAAAAGTTTTTTATATTAAGGATATATAGGATATAATAAGAATAGATATAGGATATAAATATACAGGATTAAAATATTACAAAACATATTATTTTCTAGCCTATATAAATATGAAAAATCACTGCTTTTATGTCTTCTTCATCTCGGGAGGCTTTTTCAGTTCATTCATAACAATTTGCTTTTGTATAATGTTATTATTATTAGCAGTATTATTTAATATATCCATATTTATATTTGTTTTATTAAAAACAAGCTTAGATTTGCCCACCTGTCAGGTTTTAGACCATATGGGGCACAGCATATACACTGCAAAGGCATATATTGAAAATACATGAGTAAACATGTATTGCAAGTAAAATATTCGGTACTTAAAACAATACAAAATTCCAAAAATGTCAAATGCCATCTTTTTTAACGTAAAGTTTTCTAATTTCGCAGACTGTTAAGAGCAACCCAGGCTCATTCTGAAAATGTACTTCTACATAAATTTCCAGGGAGTGCCAAATACAGTATATGTCCCAGGAGCTACGTTTTTTTTACTTTTTTTTTTTTTTTTTTTTTTTTACAAATCCACCAGAGGCTGCTTTTTATAGCTTTTCAAATTTCAAATTGCTCTAGTGAATGCTATTCGCACCTACTGTTCTCGCATAAATCCACCAGAGGCCGCTGTCGACTGACTGACCGATCAACTGACCCACCCTCCTTTTTCCCTAAACACAACCAATAGTGTTTTCAAAAGCAGTGATTCACCAGTCAATACAGAGATAAGCGGTCAGCTGGTAAGAATATACCGTCTTGTAGTATTCGTTTTAAAGATGAAATGCAGCCATACATACTTCTGGCTACATAATTCGTGATCTCTAGAATTATATATAGGGCTACGTTTTCAGAATGAGCCTATGTTGGTCAAGAGACAAAATACAAAATGCAAAACACAAAACATTGCAATAACAAAAATAATTAACTTGGATGAAGAACATGGTAATGGTAATTTCTGCGTAAATTTATTATTCACAAAATAACTGTAATAGATTAAAAAAAAGTTTTTGTTTACCTTCTTTAATACTACAGGCAGTGTGACACATCATCAATGATGAACCTTCGGGTGTTTCAGGTCTAAGATCATCAGACACCGTCACCTGGGTGATTAGTCTCCAACTTGTGTCATGCTACACCATGAATCGCCCCTCTTAATCTGCAGCCACCTTAAATACCAATAGACGGTTGACTGTAATACACTGCTGTAGTGTGTGATCTTGTAAGTCTATGCTGTGCTGCTTAAGATCATTGCAGGTTCGGTAAATGGACTGTAGCTGTTGTCAGGCTACTCTTGCTGCAAAAAGTGAGGTACTGGAAAAGCTGCATTGTATCATAAGTAGGTGAGCTTCTCTTAAGCTACAGAAAAATGTAGTTAGGCTAGTTGCTGAGCTTGAGGCTGCATACACCCTAACACTATTGTTCATTCATTTGTTAGAATTATTGTTTGTTTGCAAAAGATATGTGAACGTTTCATATTACTTACACATGCTTATGACCCGAATATATATAAAAGACACTAGTCAGACTTGATTTTAGAAAGCAGGCTTGAGGTTAAACTATGTCGTTTTAATTTTCTGTCTGATTCAGGCTCAAACTGATACAACTAACAGTTTCAATGACTGACAGTATTCACACTATGGCAAAGTGAATGTTAGTAGTGATTGGTGTGGTTTATCATTAGTTTGAACTATATTTATCATTTGTGTTTACATAAGTGTAATTTGTTAGATCTGTTGTTTGTTTGACCTGTTGTTCTTGTTGTTCTTCTTCGATTTATAGTTTTTTTTTCGATTCAATTTGATCTTTGAAGTAATCTATCACTTGTTTGAACTTTCACTTGTTCGATTTACCATTTGTTTGATTTTTTTGGTTCGATTGATCAGCCCTCGTATTAGTTTTTTGATCCGCCGTTAGTTAATTTTACCATTCGTTTGATCTGACGTTTGATTGACCTATCATAATTTTTTTTTTACCGTTTACATGTGGTCGTAGCATTAGTTTGATTCAACATTCGTTCGATATGTTCTTCTTTTGATCTGTCATTTGTTTAAACTGTAATTTGACTGTTCAAACTATCTATCTATCTATCTATCTATCTATCTATCTATCTATCTATCTATCTATCTATCTATCTATCTATCTATCTATCTATCTATCTATCTATCTATCTATCTATCTATCTATCTATCTATCCAACCACCCACTTATCCATCCATCCATCTATCTATCCATCCATCCATTTATCCATCCCTTTATACATCCATCCATCCATCAATCCATCCATCCATCTATCCATCTATCCATCTACCCATCCATCCATTTATCCATATCTTTATCTATCCATTTGTCCATCTATTTGTCCATCCATCCATCCATCCATCCATCCATCCATCCATCCATCCATCCATCTATCCATCCTTCCATCTATCATTCTACTGTTTTATCTGTCATTAGACTGTTCTATCTATCTATCTATCTATCTATCTATCTATCTATCTATCTATCTATCTATCTATCTATCTATCTATCTATCTATCTATCTATCTATCTATCTATCTATCTATCTATCTATCTATCTATCTATCTATCTATCTATCTATCTATCTAACCAACCACCCACCCACCCACTTATCTATCTATCTATCTATCTATCTATCTATCTATCTATCTATCTATCTATCTATCTATCTATCTATCTATCTATCTATCTATCTATCTATCTATCTATCTATCTATCTATCTATCTATCTATCTATCTATCTATCTATCTATCTAACCAACCACCCACCCACTTATCTATCTATCTATCTATCTATCTATCTATCTATCTATCTATCTATCTATCTATCTATCTATCTATCTATCTATCTATCTATCTATCTATCTATCTATCTATCTATCTATCTATCTATCTATCTATCTATCTATCTATCTAACCAACCACCCACCCACTTATCTATCTATCTATCTATCTATCTATCTATCTATCTATCTATCTATCTATCTATCTATCTATCTATCTATCTATCTATCTATCTATCTATCTATCTATCTATCTATCTATCTATCTATCTATCTATCTAACGTTTGATCATTCTATCCATCCATCCATCCATCCATCCATTTATCCATCCCTTTATCCATCCATTTGTCCATCTATCCATCCATCCATCCATCCATCATTCTACTGTTCTATCTATCATTCGACTGTTCTATCGTTCGATCATTTCATCCATCCTTCCGTCCGTTGATCCGCCCGTATCTATCTATCTATCTATCTATCTATCTATCTATCTATCTATCTATCTATCTATCTATCTATCTATCTATCTATCTATCTATCTATCTATCTATCTATCTATCCAACCACCCACCCACCCACCAACCCACCCGTCCGTCCGTCCATCCATCCATCCATCCATCAGTAAAATCCTCCAAAACAGAGACTCTGAAGTTGACAATGAGCAATGTCTCAGTAGTTGTTTTGTTTGTAATGTGTTAGCTTTATATTGCCCCCGCTAGCAGACTGATGTGCTCCCCGTAGCATTAGTTTGCTGTTCTCCCTCTGCATCCTTCATTAGCCACCTCTGGCTGCCAGCTTCCTAAATTGCTTGGCAGCTCCCATTATTTTAAAAGCCATCGCTCATCATTTACATCAAGTTCTAGTAACAGTAATCTGATTACAATAGCAGAGGGGGTTTTCAGCTGTTAGTATCATTCACCTCAGGGGCTTGTCTGGCTCAACAAGGCCACGCTGTTGACAGATCGACTCAGTAATTAGAACTGAGATATACGTGATCCTACTGCATGCTTGGTTTTTTATTAGAACCACTGAAAATATACCCCCAAAAGTGTTTGTGTTTGGGAAATTCTCATGGAAATCTCTCTTCTAATCTGCAGGGATGAACCAGGGGAAATGAACAAGATCCGGAAATTAAAGGATTACTCCTAACTGCCAAACACTAGAGGTCTGGTGTGCCAAAGATTTCGTCTACTTGGGTAACAAAAAAAAGCCGTCAGCAGGCCTGCTCTGGATTTTGTACACCAGAATGTCAGTGATTGATGGATTTATAACCGTTGAAAGTGGATATAACCTCACATAACAAAAAGAATGCACTTTTTGGACACTTGTTGTGGATTTCTAAATCCGTTGATTGTTCTCCCATGACTTATTTTCGTGGTGTGCATCCCACTTCTGTAAAGAAGAAAACAATCATGATTAAAAACACAAATTATGCCATCATGTCCCTGCCTTTCTCAGAACACATGAAATGGGGAGGGATTGTTCGAGGTCTGTATCCACCCTCTCGCTCCATCTTTCTTCTACTACTATTTTCCCTGCCGCTGGATGCAGTAAGTGGTGTGGCAGGTTTGGAATATGACTGGGGAACACAACCCAAACTAGTTTGCATCCCCATCCCTGCTGATGCAGATCCTAGTTGTTTCACACCAGGCGGGGCTTCACATGGGACTTTACATGGGTCTTCGCATGGAGCTTCACATGGGCCATCCCATGGCTCTTCACATGGGCCAAACAGCAATGGACATGGAAATGGACATCATGGACCAGTTAGTGGTCTGCCAAACAGCAACGGACATTTGAATGGACATCATGGGCCAGTTAGCGGCCTGCCAAACAGCAACGGACATGGGAATAGCCATGGAAATGGCCATCACGGCCCAGTTAGTGGTCTGCCAAGTAGTCACAGCAGTAGTAGCAGCCGACATGGCATATCCGATGAGGCCAAATCCACCATCCTTCACCTGAGGGAGAGCCTTGTGCGACAGAAGGAGACCATCTTGGACCAGCGGGAGACCATTCGGGAGCTGACAGCGAAACTGACTCTCTGCGAGAGCTTTGGGAGAGGACATCATGACGACAACCATCATGGCCCTTCACATCACGGCTCCCAGCATTCCTCGCAACACTACGACAGCCACCACGCTGACCCACACTACCCCTTAAACGGGCACCGCAGTGACAATCAAAGAGGCAAATCTCCATATCTGGGCAAACATGGGGGATTCTCTCCAGAGCAGACCGGAAAGACACTGCAGGCCCTGAAGGAGAGGCTGGAGAATCTGCAGGTGGGAGGATTTGCTTGATTGACACATGTATGCATGCTATCAATCAAAAGTTTGTGATTTTTTTACTTTGAATTTTCTAAAGCCCAATTTATACTACTGCATTGAGTAATAGCTGTATACCACAGTGCATCCCTTGATTGTAAACGACTCAACTGAGAGCATTTTTACTTCTGGTTACTGTTTGACACTTTTGTAGTCCAAGGGGTTTCTATGTTCCACTCTCAAGTGTCTATGCCAGTGTGTTGAGTTTACAACGAAAATGAGTGCAATGCGGCTAAATAAATCAGAAGTCAGAATTATTATAAAAATATGGCTTAAAGAGGCTAATAATTTTGACCTTAAATGTTTAAAAAAATATTTAATTCTTTAATTCTAACCAAATAAAACAAATAAGACTTTCTTCAAAAGAAAAAATATTATCGGACATACTGTGAAAATTTCCTTGCTTTTTTCCAATATTGGTTCTTGCAACACATTTTTTAAAAAGTTGGGACAGGAGCAATTTGGGGCTAGTAATCAGGTAAATTTGTTAAATAGTGATATTATTTGAAACAGGTGATGTCAACAGGTGATTGTAATTATGATTTGGTACAAAAACAGCATCCAAGAAAGGTCTAGTTCTTTAGGAGCAAAGATGTGCAGCGGATCGCCACTTTGCCAACAAACACATGAAAAAATTATTAAAATGTTTAATAACAATGTTTCTCAAAGAAAGATAGAAAGACATTTGGATATTTCATCTTCAACAGTGCATAACATAATAAAACAATTCACAATTATCCTGCGTAAAGGACAAAGGCGCAAGCCAAAGCTGAGCCACCATCATCTCCTATCTCTCAGACAGCATAACATCAAGAATCGTCATTCATCTATAAGTGATAACACCACATGGGCTTAAGACTATTTTGACAAACCTTTGTGAAGTACCGTAATACGTAGTTACAGTTAAAACTGTCCTGTGACAAAAGAAAGCCCTATGTTAACAGTGTCCAGATGCACTGTCAACTTTTCTGGGCTATGAGGCATCTGGGATGGAACATCACACAATGGAAACATGTATTGTGTTTAGATAGATCAGTCTTTCAGGTATTTTTTGGGAGAAATGGACCCCATGTGCTCTGGACCAGAAAAAAAGGATCATTCAGACTTTTACCAACAAGTCCAAAAGCCAGGGTCTATCATGGTATGGAGTTGTGTTGGTGCCTATGGCAATAGAAACTTGTACTTCTGTACTTCTGTGATGGAACAATTAATGCTAAAAATTACATAAAGATTGTAGAGCACAATATGCTGGCTTTCCAGGAACACCCATGCATAGTTCAACAAAACAATGCAAAACCACATTCTGCACACATTACAAAGTTCTGACTGCGAAGCTGCTTGACTGGCCTGCCTGCTGTCCCAACCATTCTCCAATAGAGAAAGAGTGGCATATTTTGAAGCAAAAAATGTGACAAGACCCTGTACTGTTGCCCACCTCAACACTTGTTTGCAGGAAGAATGGGACAAAATTACACCTGAAACACATCTTTCCTAGGTGTCTTCAGCCCCTAAATATTGATTAAGTGTTGTGAAAAGAAATAGCAACATTACAAAGTGGTAAATGCTTCATTGTTGCAAGTTTTTAAAAAATGTGTTGCAAGAACCACAATTGGAATTCGTGATTATTAATATATATATATATATATATAGTCAAAGTAAATTTAGAAGTCACTTCTTTTTTTATTTGCGTTTTTCATACTGTCCCACCTTTTTTTCTGATTTGGGGTTGTAATACTTTCTATTCATTCACTCGTTCATTTTATTTTCGGCTTAGTCCCTTTATTAATCTGGGGTCGCCACAGCAGAATGAACCGCCAACTTCACGTTTCACACAGCAGATGGAAACATCCACACACACTCATTCACACTCATACACTCAGAACAAATTAGTCTGTATCCAATTCACCTGTACCGCATGTCTTTGGACTGTGGGGGAAACCGGAGCAACCGGAGGAAACCCACTCGAATGCAGGGAGAACATGCAAACTCCACACAGAAACGCCAACTGACCCAGCCGAGGCTCGAACCAGCGACCTTCTTGCTGTGAAGCGACAGCACTACCTACTGCACCACTGCATCGCCTAATACTTTCTATATAATTGCTAATAATTTCTAAACCAAATCTTTGAATAGTATAGTGTGCTTTGATGTATTGTGTATGACATGTCAACATGTAATGTCAACCATGTTTCAACTTATTTTTTTTAACTATATGAGATTCAACTTGGCGTTTAAGTCAGTCAGAAATTACTTGTACAGTTCATGTAATTCGATTTAAATATTTGAGCAAGCAACAATTTGAATACAGTTTGTTCTTTAGCAATCATGGAATTATTTATTCCTATAGACAAGATGCCTTACTGAGACCTGAAAACTACAGTTGAAAATTGATATTTCCAGTTTCCAGTTGCATAGATTTCTATCCTACATGATGTCAGGACAATGTTTCTGCATGACATAAGCTCTTTTCTGGTTCTTTAAAGTCCACACTTTCACTTTTAGTGAACGCTAAAACAATCTAAAGCAACTGCAAAGAAATAACCATATAGTTGCAATGCACTTGGGTTAAAAATATTATAATATTAAAGCACTGACATGCTAGCAAACTTTCATAGCCGGGCTCCCAGCTAACTCTATCAAACCTCTTCAGATACTTCAGAACGCAGCAGCACGAGTGGTCTTTAATGAACCTGGCTACTCATCCGTTTGCACTGGCTGCCAGTTGCTGCTCGCATCAAATTCAAAGCTCTGATGTTTGCTTACAGAGCGATTTCTGGCTTTGCTCCTTCTTATCTGCTCTCTCTTCTGCAGATTTATAGACCCTCCAGAAACTTGCGTTCTGTGAATGAACGTCGCCTCTTGGTTCCATCCCAAAGAGGGAAGAAAACACTCGCGGTCAATCTGCCCAGTTGGTAAAATGAACTCCCTAACTGCATCAGAACAGCAGAGTCACTCGCTGTCTTCAAAAAACTACTAAAAACTCAACTATTTAGTCTCCACTTTCTTTACTAATATGCAATTCCCTCTCTGACTCTCAATTAACTACAAAAAAAAAGACTAATGTTTTGCTTCTTACACTTTCTTTACACACCTGAAACTTGCCTACAGCCATATTATTGCTCTTATAGTGTATAAATTGCTTCATTGTCCTCATTTGTAAGTCGCTTAGGATAAAAGCGTCTGCTAAATGTAAATGACTAAATATCATATTTTGACTGATCTGTAGTGCGCTATTGCATTGCTCTTGATTTGTAATTAACTTCTGTACTTTAGAATGCAAACAAGCATTGCTTCTGTCTCCCAAAGTGGTTTCGACAGCATTTGAAGCTTCACTAGAAGTGTTGTTGTGGTGGAGAGGAAGTGCGCAGTCTGCACACAGCACGCAGGTGACGGTGCTCTGCAATGTGCGAGTTACTGCCATCGCCAATTAGCCCCATCTGCCTTGATGAGCCATTAAGTGCAGAATGCTGTGGTGCTGAGTAAAGCTGGATTTACTGTGACTAATCAGAGGAAGGAGGCTGAGCTTGTGATATCATAACCCTTATTTGTACACAAGTCTACGTTCTAAAAATACTCTGGGTTGCCATAATCCAACACTGGGTCAAATATGGAACAAGTTAAAGTTGGGTTAAATTATTGAATAGTATTTCAATTACAAGGGGTGACGGGGTGGCGAAGTGGAGCAGCGGATAGCACATTCGCCTCACAGCAAAAAGGTCCCTGGTTTGAGCCTCGGCTGGGTCAGTTGGCATTTCTGTGTGGAGTTTGCATGTTCTCCCTGTGTTTGTGTAGATTTCCTCTAGCTGCTCCGGTTTTCCCCACAAGTCCAAAGTAGTGGTACAGGTAAATTGGGTATGCTAAAATTGACTGTAGTGTATGAGTGTGTGTGAATGAGTGTGTATGTGTATCCCATGGGTTGCGTGCTATATTTTCATAAAATGTTTTCCCACAATTTATAATCTACATGGGTCCTATCATACATCTGAAGCAATAAGGTGCAAGATGTGTTTGACATGATTTGTTACTATTTTCAGACCAGAAGAACCCTAATTTAATTTAATTTAATTTAATTTAAATATATTTCAAAATATTGGTCAGACTCTTTTAATATTTTATGATGACTCAGACAGAGTGCAAAGTCCATGACTGGAAGTTTGATTAAATAATATGTTTCCCAATAATTTTATAACCCTTAAGTAATATTGTGCACTCAAAAATATCTTTGCTGCTTGACTTGTTCAAACTGCCTATTTAAATTTGACCTGAATCAACAAGATTGTTGAGATTTTTTAGATAACTTTATAGTATTTATATTTATTTGTATTTTAAATTTGTTCAATTCACTTAAATTTGTAAAAAATAATTAAGGTAATTAATTGATTTGTGTTGGGACAACATGAAGGAATTGGAACCCAGCATTTTTAGCATTTTGTTTTACAGTCTGTGTAGCTTTTTTATTTCTTAAACCTTTATAACAGTGCAACCGGCAATTCAACATTTATTTTATTTTATTTACCTATTTATTCATTTATTTATTTTTATATATTTATTTTATTAACTTTTATTTAATTGTATTTATTTATTTATTCATTATCTATTTTATTTGTTTATTTTTTTAGATATATTTTATTTTTGTTTTATTTTTTTATTTACTCATTTACTTATTTATTTTTTTTATTACTAATTGCTTAATTGTCTATTTATTTGTTTATTTTATTTAGTAATTTATTTATTTTATTTTATTTTTATTTTCATTATTAACCTATTTATTTTTTATTCATTAATTAATTCATTAATTCATTTATTCATTCATTTTTTTTCGGCTTAGTCCCTTTATTAATTTTATTTAATAATCGCCACAGCAAAATGAACCGCCAACTTATCCAGCACGTTTTTACGCAGCAGATGCCATTCCAGCCGCAACCCATCTCTGGGAAACATCCACACACACTCATTCACACACACACTTATACACTACGGACAATTTAGCCTACCCAATTCACCTGTACCACATGTCTTTGGACTGTGGGGGAAATTGGAGTACCACGCGAATGCAGAGAGAACATGCAAACTCCACAAAGAAATGCCAACTGACCCAGCCGAGGCTCGAACCAGCGACCTTCTTGCTGTGAGGCGACAGCACTACCTACTGCGCCACTGCTATTTATTTATTTTATTCTATTTTTATTTATTTTTCATTAAATTTTTTACCTATAAGTAAATGAATTTTTTTTTAAAAGTTAATTACTTATTTAATTTTTTATTTTTATTTACTTTTTTATTTTTTATTTGTTATTTTATTTTATTTTATTTTATTTTATTTTATATTTTATTTTATTATTATTTAATTTATTTATATTATTTTATGTTATTTTATTATTTTATTTTATTTACTTATAATTATTTATTTTTATTTACTTATTTTTAAGTTTTTTATTTACTTATTTATTTAATATCTTTTTATTTATTTGCTTTTTTTTTTATGCTAAACTAAACAAACCATACTATTTGTTTACTGTCTTTGTTTTTTGTAGGCTAGAAATTCCTCCAGTTCCTATTCGAGTTCATTGCGAGACCTCCTGCAACGCAAAATCAACACACTGGAAGAACAGCTTCATCATCATTACGACAGTCACTACGGTCACTATGATCACCACGACCACGATTACCACCATACTGACCACCCCAGTAACCACCATGATGACAATCACGATAACCACGACAATCATCACGACGACCATCACTCCAACCGCCATCGTAACCACCATTACAGTTATCACTATGACCATCACGGCGACCACCATGATGATCACCACGACGATCATCATGACGACCACCATGACGATCACCATGACGATCACCACGACAATCATCACAACGGCCATGACAATCATCAAGACAGCCACCCTAACAACCACCATGATGATCATCATGATGATGGCCATTATAGCAATGGTCATCGTGACGATGGCCTTCATGGCAATGGCCACCATGATGATGGACACCATGGAAATGACGATGATGCCCACCATCCACCAACCTCTTTTAAGCCACCAGGGTCAAGATCTCCTGTCCGCGGAGCCATCAGTAAACTAGATGCAGTGCTGAGCAACATTCACCACAAACCTACTGAAGCAGGTGACGTGTCATGAAGAATAGCACAAAACTTAGCTGAATTAGTGATGAGCGTGATCAGTCTTTGAATTAATAAAATATTATTTAAGCATTAATATGAAAACTAATATATAACATTACTTTAAAAAATGAAATAAAGTGTGTTTGCTACAGTGTTTACAGTTTTTCTCAGTCGCTTTGGTGCATTTCTCACTACACTATTTACATTTGCACAACAGTTAATGCATTTCTCAAAACAATTAGTCATTTGTGCACATCCTAGTAGCAGTTTCTCATTCTTTTCAACAAATTGCGAATGCTTTTGGACATGCATTAATTGCTTTTAGACAACTCTCTGCTGTTTATAATATTATCATTTGCTTATGTCATGTCAGTCAAAATTAACTAAACTTGTAAATGCTGAACAGTCATTCCATATAAAACTAATAGTCTTCATTTTATTACTTGAGTCTTTACATACACAAATGTTGAACTAGTTGTCAAAATCTGTCAAACAAATTTTATAAAACAAATTTAAATATTTATTTTCCTGAAAATGTCTTTAAAATTGAACTATTTGATGAATGATTTACAGACCTGTGTATGTTGTAGGCTCAGTTCCAATGTGTACTGCAATATTGTTTACAGTTGTGCACTGCTCTACCTAAAGGGAGTTTATGTTTGTTGTAAATAAGGGTGTGTTTACAGTATTATTTTGCACAATGCTGGGAATAAATTAGGATTGCAAAGACCAAATGCAGTAAAAATGTGAAACATACATATTCAGTGTCTTGTACTCACTCAATGCAGTGATGTCTAACTTTACTGTAGTTTTCAAATGGCTGTGCAAATAGTATACAGTGCTGTCTTGAGCATTTTCAGGAAGTTTCACCAAAATCAGACTTTTTTTGCATTGGAAAAATGTAGAGAGTCATGATGAAAACATGACAAAGCCATTTGACCATCTTGTTCGTAAACAATGGTGTCAGGACTTTTCATTTTAATGGCACTGACACTTTGATTGACATGAATACTTGCTTTTGTGGAATGAACTATTCATTTTGAGCATGTGACCCGCTTTTGCAGGTTATCAGCTAGGTTTTTGCAATTTGTACTAATTGTTTTGAGAAATGCATTAACTGTTGTGCAGAAATGCACTAGTGTTAGGAGAAACGCACCAAAGCGACTGAGAAAAACTGCAATATAAAATCATAGAAACACTTTTTTTATTAAATAAGTAATTTTTTTACAAATTATTTATTTAAATTAATAAATTATTTATTCAATAATAAATAATTACAATTATAATAAATAATTCTAAACAAATAAGTATAACAAACAATACATTAATTATCAAAATAGAGGACATTTTTAGGAAAAAAAATATCCTTAAAGGAACACTACTTTTTTGCTCATCTTACAACTTTTATAGAGTTAAACATTATATATATATATATATATATATATATATATATATATATATATATATATATATATATATATATATATATATTATTATTATTATTATTATTATTATTATTATTATTATTGTTATCATCATCATTCATTTTCTTTTTAGCTTAGTATTAATCAGCAGAATGAACCACTAACTTATGCAGCCTCTGTTTTACACAGCGCATGCCCTTCCAGCCGCAACCCAACACTGGGAAACACCCATACACACTCATTCACATAAATACCATATGGACAATTTAGTTTGTTTAATTCACCCGTAGCACATGTCTCTGGACTGTGGGGGAAACCGGAGCACCCGTAGGAAACCCATGCGGACACGGGGAGTACTTATTACAGTAAATAAATCAGTATCTCATGGGTGTTCATCATTTATTTACCCATTTGAAATGTATTATGTGACCTTGATCTCTGCTCCCACAACGTTGATGCTCAAATTTGAACTCTGCAGCTTTAACAATGTGAATTTTATTTACATTAAAAGTTTTAATCCCCATACTTTAGTAATACAATAATTTGCATGATCAAAACAGACAGGGTTGTTTCTAATGACTACAAATGTCTATAAAAGTCATTTTGTCAAACTTTTTAACATCAAATCAGAGCAGAGATCAAGATCCCTTAATGTTTTTCAGAAGTTGGAATGAATGGAAAACACCCATAAATACTACAGGCTACTGATATTTTGTCATACTATAGTCATATTAAAACTCTGAAGGGTTGTATGAGTTTGTGTGTGTGAGAGTGTATGGGTGTTTCCCAGTTTTGGAAGAGCATCCGCTGCGTAAAACAAAAGCCGGAATAGTTGGCAATTCATTCTGCTCTGGCAACCCCTGATGAATATGGGAGTAAGCCAAAAGAAAATGAATTAATGAATGAATGAATCATCCTTAACTTCTCTCAAAACCGTTTGACTTTTGTCAGTTGAACACAAAAGAAAATGTTTAGAAAAATAATTGAAATGGTAAGCATTTACTTTCATAATAAATGTTTTTCCTACTATGAATGTCAATCGATTACCAGCTTTCTTCAAAATGAATTTGACTTGAGGGTGGGTAAATAGTGATTGTTATTTTTAGGTGAATTTTCCTTTAAGTCCAAGCACTGCAAAATTTAGTTAAACAGTCTGCTTACAGTAGATCTGAGTCTTTTTTATTTTTAAAAGTAGCTTTTTGTGAAATGCAGAAGAGAAATAATATCCCATTTCACGCTTCCTCATTTCCACATCTCACAGGATCAAATAAGAAGCCCAAGAATCCTGACGCGTTTCAGATTGGCTTCCCGATGCGCACCAACTACATGTACGGGCGAATCAAGCGCACCCTTCTGAGCGAGATCTTCGCCCTTACCGTCTGTCTTTGGTTAAAAGGAGGCTCGGGTCCTGGCCTCGGAACCCCGTTCTCCTACTCTGTCCCTGGACAAGCCAACGAGCTCGTCCTCATTGAGTGGGGCAACAATCCCATGGAGCTGCTGGTAAACGACAAGGTAAAGAATCAGTGATTACATAATGAAAGATCTATGGCCTAGATTCAGTATACCGGGGTCGTATACAGTAGCTTAGAAGTGGATTTAATAGGATACAATGAAGCATGTCACAACACCAGACGAAATAACTGTGATATGTTAATTAATAGTGAAATGTTGGGTCTCTTCGTTAGGATAGGGTCAACAGATTTACTTACCCTGCTGATGCCCTTGTCCTGTCCTTGCAACAGTCTGCAAAGCCGTCTCTTCCTCTCGGCTTCCCAGCCAATTGCATCATCCTGTCTAATTAGTTAATGGCTTATCTGTGGCTGACGTGTGAATACATTCTACTGTTTTTTTTTTGTTTTTTTTTACTGAAATAAGACAGACCTCTTCTCTGATAGACTGTTTACATGCTGTCAGATAAAGTGGTGTTGAGATACTGAAGCCTATGGATGCTTACAACAAACACTAAATAGTAGAGTAGATGCAAGCAAAGTGTAAGCAATATATAACTTTTTTGCTGTTTTCATTTAGCAATTCATATAACAAACAAACAAACACCAAACATCTGTCATACATACAGTATATGTCTGAAGGATTCAATTTCTGTATGTTTAGGAACACATAGACTCTGCATGCACAAAAAAAAATCTGTAGATTTTTAACCTGTCATTGAGTTTATTTTATTACTGTAAATGTGTGTAGATTTATATTTATTTTTTTAAATTAATTTTAGTAATATTATTGACTAATCTGAAAATATTTATATGCATTTATTTACAATCTAGTTTGTAAAGTACTATTTTCTTTCTTTTAGTAGATATATTATACAAGAGACATTCTTTGTTTACCAAATAATTGGATCTAATAAGATTTGAATAGTTAACATTTAATGAAAGTTACAAAGGTATTATTATTATTATTATTTTAGTTATGATACTCCTAAAATCGTTCAGCATAATTTTTTTTCTGAAAGTTTTACATAGAAATAGCAAAAATTGTCTGCAGATTCTGTCTGGCCCTAATTATGACCATTGTGTTGACTCATTCATTCAAGCAATTGACCAAAACAAAGTGATTAATGTAATGTTTATTTGTTAATGCATTAAGCTCTATTTTGACGATCCAGGCGCAAAGTCCAAAGCGCAGGGCGCAAAAGCATTAAGGGCGGGTCGGAATCCACTTTTGCTATTTTAACGACGGAAAAATCTGCTTTGCGCCGTAGCGCGCGGTTTAACAGGGTTGAGATCATTCTTGTAATGAGTTATAGGTGTGTTTTTAGAATAATCAGAGTCTCATCTACCATTCCCTTTAAGAGTCAGTTGCGTCGTGCCATGGCGCATTTGCTATTTACATGGCGGACTTTGTATATGGAAAAACTGAGCGCTTCACTAGCGAGAAAACAGTTAAACAGAGCATCTGCAGCGCGAGAATGAGAGATGAGCCTCCTCCTTATGTACTTTCACTTTCACTCTCGTGGATAGGGAAGCGTGTTGTATGAACAGACACCCATTAGCCTATAAATAATTAATTTTGTTTATTAAGCACAAATAATTGTTTCAAAACTATTTCTAAATTCAGTTCTAATTTCCAGCAAACAAACAAATGAACAATAAGTGTGGTCAAAAAACTGAGTTATATCCAAAATACACATGCTATGCTCCATATGATCTAAAACCTGACAGGTGGGCAAATCTAAGCTTATTTTTAATAAAACAAATATAAATATGCATATAATAAATACTACTAATGATAATAATAACATTATACAAAAGCAAATTGTTATGAATAAGCTGAAACTAGCAAGCAACAATTGCGTCGCGCCTTGCGCCGTATGTATAATAGGGCTCATTAGGTTGATCAGCTAATTAGTCTATAAACTGACATATACGAGCGATGCACTGATGAATCACAGCTTTAAAACACTCCAGTGTCCCTGTATCTGTAGTTACACTCAGTAAACAGTGTTGAGTTTGGTGATTTAAAGACCTTCATGGCCAATCAGTCATTTTTGTTGAGCACGTGAACAGTGGCAATTCAGTGTTGTTTAAGAATGTGCTCAATGTTGGTGCAGTAGTCTAGTGGTTAGCTTGCTGACATATGGTGCAGTAGCACGTCAGGGCATCATGAGTTCGAATCCTGGCTCGAGGACATTTCCCAACCCTATCCCCCGCTCTCTCTCTCCAACTTCGCTTCCTGTTTCCTTACTGTCCTATCTAATAAAGGCCAAAAATAAATCTTAAAAAATACCAGAATGTGCTCAATACCACTCAAATGTTTGTGGAAAATTGACATTTTTAAAATATCAGTACTGATTGGTACATAATTCCAGTATCGTGCAACCCTATATCCCTTCCAGTTTAAATGTTACTACCCTAAACATAAAAGCAAATTTGGATAAGGGGTGGTGCTAAAGAGAGTTAGAGACTCCATATTTGCAGTGGCTAATGTCCTCTATTTAAGTTCACAACATATCTGCAAGTGTTTCTGTGGGTTGCCATTCCTTGGTGCTTGGACCCTAATTAACTTTTAAAATATATGCAAAACAGATATTTTGACGCAAAGTGTGTATGACAAAATTCCATTGACTATGATTACCAAGCAGTGACTGTAATGTTTAAAGATGTACTGTTTTTTGCCCTCTTGCAGGCAGTCACTCTTCCTCTTTCTCTGACGGACGGGAAGTGGCACCATCTCTGTGTAACATGGTCCACACGTGATGGCATGTGGGAGGCTTATCAAGATGGTGTGAAAAGGGGCACTGGAGAGAATCTGTCGCCCTGGCATCCCATTAAACCAGGAGGAGTCTTCATTCTTGGCCAAGAGCAGGTATGGTCTTACTGAATCAAACTTAAAGCTTATACTTTTTAAGCATATATTCAATTCAATTCAATTCAATTCAGTTCAATTCAATTCAATTCAATTTAATTTAATTTAATTTAATTTAATTTAATTTAATTTAATTTAATTTAATTTAATTTAATTTAATTTAATTTAATTTAATTTAATTTAATTTAATTCAATTCAATGACTCTTTATTTCTGTAGAGCTTTTACAATGTAGATTGTGTCAAAGCAGCTTAACATACAGTCGGAGATTATAGTAAATTGAAACCGCTTTAGTGAACTTTTCAGACTTGAAGTTCAGTTTATTGTAGTTTAGATTTCATTGCTGAAAGTCCAAACACTTAAGAGCAAATTCATCGATGCACAGCTCCACAAGTCCCAATTCAAATAAGCCTGTGGCGACAGTGGCGAGGAACAAAACTTCACAAACTGACCAAAGTGAAGGAAAAAACCTCGAGAAAAAAACAGGCTCAGTATATTGTATATCATGCACAGCTCAGGTTAAAGAAAATCAACAATTTGGTTTATTTCCCAGTGCTGAGTTGTGGCTGGAAGAGCATCTGCTAGGTAACAAATATGCCAGAGTCCTTGGCGGTTCATTCCGCTGTGGTGACCCCTATGAATCACAGAATAAGCTGAAGAAAAATTAATGAATGAATGAATTTTTGGTTTAAGAGGATCATCAAGATTCTAAATAGACAACTCAGAATAATAAAATGTTGTTTACTTAATATTTTGACTAAATGTTCATTTCGTAAATGATGAAAAAAGTAAATCCAAATGATGGATTTAAAATAATAAGTTTGAATGAATTATTCAGAGACTTCATGATTCAGAGTTTTTGAACAAATCTTTTGAAAGATTGGTTCAAAGAAAAATTTACTTTTTGAGTCATTGTGCCAAACAAATAAAAAATAAGCATTGCCATTTTTTAGAGTTTGCACTGCCATTAAATTGATTATTCTATTGATGATTACACACCCTTATGTTTTTCCAACCCTCCTAATTTGTCTTTGAAAAACAAATGAACAGTATTTAGATGAAATCTGAGAGCGCACTCTTCTTCTATAGACAGCAATGGTCCCAACTCTACCAAAAACCATAGTTAAAACACCCTCTATACCAGGGGTGGCCAACCCTGTTCCTGGAGATCTACCTTCCTGAAGATTTCAGTTGCAACCAATATCAAACACACCTGCTAGTAATTATCAACTTCTGTTCAGGTCCTAATTAATTGGTTTGGGTGTGTTTGATCAGGGTGGGAGCTGAAATCTGCAGGAAGGTAGATCTCCTGGAGCAGGGTTGAGCACTCCTGCTCTATAGTGACATTAAAAAGAAACTGTTAAATAAATTCATGATTTTAGTTTTATGTAAGCACAAAATCCTTTTGTAGGTTGATAATATTCTGATTGAACCACTGAAGGTCTGTTTTTTTTTTTGTTTTTTTCTTGACTTTGAATGAACTGGAATCATTACTGTCTATGGTATATGAGGGAGCTCTCCAATTATATATAAAATATCTCAATTATTTTTTATTTTATTTTTATTTTTTACTGATCTAATCCCGATACCGATGCAGATCTGATACCAATCCTGTGCCATTTTAAAAAAAAAAACATAATACAGATTCTATAGTTCTGGTGAATAAATATATTTTCTTTAGTGAAAATAACAGACCTAATAACAGGCCTACTGTATGACAAACGGCACAATCTAACTAAAAACATGATGCTTCCTGTAAACTAGCCTATATTATTTGAGCATTCGTTATGACATTGATCTGTTGTGGTCCAGCTTACGTTTTCTTATTTTAATATTAAGAGGTTTTTTTAAAATCTGTAATAGGCTACCACTATTGACCCTAATCAAAACACAAACTAGTCTGTTAAAGAAATTAGTGCATTGAAGATCTGTCCAATGTATTATTGAGCCTTTTCTAGGCCTACTTTGTGTGTGAAGAGCAGGTAATAACCTAACCATCTCTACTCCAGTGCTGCAAATGCGATCTGCTGATCTATTAGACATAGCACAACATGATTTAGAAACAGCAATGGGCTCCTTGTTGCAGGCCAAAATGAACCCATTTGATGCAAAACTTAATGCATTTTTTCACTGATTACTTATATTAACAGGAACAAATAGTCTTGGAGAAAGTTTTTCGTGTTGTCACGCAGTTTGAATTGTGAATGAATGAAAAATGATTGACAGGCGCAGATGCAGGAAGCGCTGAATTGAAAATGAATTTAACCACTTGAATATTTAACTGTACTTTACAGTAAACTATAGCATGGCTTCAGAACATTTAGGATATAGTAGCCGACATGACAACTTTCTAGTGCCCTATAATAGGCTACCTTCATGGCTTTTGTTGGGTTATAAATTACACAGAATATAGCGCACATGCAAGATCAGATTTGGATCTGCACAAGCTGGCCAATACCCGATCCAGCTAAATATGCGGTATCGAACCAATATCCAATCCAAGTATCATAAACGGTGCATCCCTTATTTTTTCTAAAGATGAATAAATAATGAATTAAGATGAAAGGTATCAGCAATTTGTTAGAACATGAGACTGAGTAATTAATAACCGAATTGACATATTTCAGATAAACAAACCTTTTAATCTATGTTATTTGTTAGCATAGATATCAGTGTTCAGTCTTCAGACATAGCCAGATTAGCATCAGTTTGGAATAAGTCTGAGCGTTTGAATCATCAATCTTTTTGTATTCAGGACACTCTTGGTGGCCGTTTTGACGCAACGCAGTCTTTTGTGGGTGAGATGTCAGATCTGCAGCTGTGGTCTCGTGTTCTCACATCTACCGAGATCTACAACCAAGCGTCCTGCGCCAGCCACCTCACCGGAGACGTCATCACCTGGAGCGAGTCTATGGTGGAGCTCCATGGCGGAGTCACCAAGTATCCATTCGACCCTTGTCATTAAGGATCAAAAATATAAATCGCAAAAGTGGAAAATTATGAGTCCAAATGGAAAAGATGAACAGGAAGACACATAGGCTGTGAGCCTTTTACTAAGGACTTCATTAGCTCAAGTGTCTATAAATTGCAAACAGCATATCAATAAGCACTCAGGATGTCAACAGACTGGTTGAACTCCATGTTTTTGATAATTGCCGATAATGAAAGAACCTCAAAAAACTCTATAACAACTATTTATTACAGCTGTTCTATTAAAAGGAGGCGTGGAGTGTTTTTATATCTGTGTAAACATATGTTTTTCCTTTGGTTTATTAGTCCACTCTTTGTCACTCTAGTCAGCATGGGGCAGGAGTGAGTTTTAAAGGTTTACATTTACGCCAGAATTGATGTGATTTTTCTAAACAAAGTCTGTAATCACTATAAATGAGATGAGTCTCAATAATTAGAAACGGCCTAAGCCCCTCCTCCAAATGTTCAGTATTAATAACGGTCTGTCTTTTGGTCTTCGGTGTTAAAATGACTTATATGGCCAATCAGATCAAAGAGGGTGGAGCCCTTCATAGATGGCAAACAAATAATTTCAACACATCTCTTCAGTGTTTAAAGTCACAATGAAATAGAGGTTAAGCTTGTCCTTTTTCATGACATACATCGAGTTGAAATGGTCCTGAAATGAGAAAAAAATGTAGGATTTTGTCTTTTAGAAACAGATTCGATCAATGGAAGATGGGTGTTGCTAATATAATAAAAGAAGATTGATGAATGGATGAAGAAAGAGCAAAAATGAGACACGCCCTGCTAGCCTCGCCCTAAAGGCGTTCCATGTGACCAGAAGTGGAAAAAAAGTTGTTTCAAGATGGAGTGAAGATTTTGTATTTGATAAAAGATTATGAAGGCAAAAATTTTTTTACAAAATAATAAAGTACATAAAAACACTGTTTATAACAAGCATTACACTGTTAACAGTTTCTTGTAAAATCTACAGTAACTAACTGGCAGCAGTTTGCCAGAAAAATACTGTACTTTTACAGCACCATTTATCTTGCTGTAAATGTATTCACGGAAAATTGTATGTATATCCTTACAGTAAAATATACAGTAATTTTCACAATACAACTTTAAAATACAGCAACATACTGCATAACTGCCCTATGGTAAAACAGTTCAGGTAACACTTCATTTTGATGGTCCAGTTTAGTATTCGTAGACGGTCTGCTCAATATCTGCTGATACTGCTCCATCAACAGACATTTAACAAACTATAAGAAACTTTGCAAGTACATGTCAACTTACACTAACCTTAACCCCAACCTAACCATCTACAGTACTTATAATCTAATGAGAATTGGTTGGCATGTAGATGCAATGTAACTTAAATTCAACAAATGGACTATCAAAATAAAGTGTGACCACAGTTTATAATACAGTTAAATACTGTAATTTACAAAAACAGTGTACTAAAGTATATACATATACAAATAAGAAGAGTAAAGTTTGACTTTAATGGTCAATGTGTTTAGGGTAAGATGCAAGAACCTAAATATTTATTATTTGATCATTGTTTTAGCATAAAAAACTACTAATTTACCAACTTGAATATCAATTCATGCAAACTTTGGCATTTTGAATTAAATGATTTATTTATGAGATTCATGTAGTTCAAAACTGAATCAAGAACAAAATGTACATAAATGCACACGTTCTCTCTTATTTGTTCAAGACATTCCCGTTCAAGACATGGCTTCAACAGATGCTAGAAGCCATGGTCTTTAGCTTCCTTGTTAGAGCAACTATTGCTCATGCAAAGAATCGCCAGTTTGGTCCCAGCTAAGACCAGGTTGGGTGTAGTAGGATCGATCGGTCACACATGGGAGCTCATCCAGGATGGGGCTCTGGTTTAGGGAAGTGAGTGTTACGAAAGCCAGTTAGCAAAGTTCCATGTAAGTAAAGCTCACTCCTCTGAACTCAAAAGGTGCTTTAGCAACAGATGCTAGAAGCCAAGGTCTTTAGCCTCCTTGTTAGAGCAACTGACTCTCATTCAAATAATGGCCAGTTCAGTCCCAGCTCAGACCAGATTGGGTGCAGTAGGAAGGGGGGGCACGTGTGGGGGCTCATCCGGGATAGGACTCGGGTTTAGTGGGATAAGTGTTACAAAATAATAATAATAATAATACCTTTTATTTTTAGGCGCCTTTCAAAGCACTCAAGGACACCTTACAGCAGATTACAAGCACATCATAAAAATGCAAGCAGTAAAAATGACAATCAGCATAATTAAACCAGCAAATCATTAAAAGCTATCCTAAACAAAAACGTCTTTATCTGAGATTTAAAATTGGAAACAGAGTCCATCTGGCGAATGTGCAAAGGCAGGGAATTCCATAACTTCGGTGCTGTACAACTAAAAGCCCTGCCTCCAAATGACTTCATCTTAAAGTGTGGGACAGATAACAGTTCAGCAGAAGATGATCTCAGTGAGCGTGAAGGAGTGTACAAATGAAGAAGATCAGAAAGATAGTGATAGTGAGATAGTGAGAAAAGCCAGCTAGCGAAGTGCTATGCAGGTAAACCTCACTCCTCTAACCTCAAAAGGTGCTCTAGCGACTAATGCTAGAAGCTATGGTCTTTAGCCTACTTGTTAGAGAAACTGACTCCCATGCAAAGAATGGCTGGTTCGGTCCCAGCACAGACCAGTTTGGGTGCAGTAGGAACGGTGGGGGCTCATCCAGGATGGTACTGAGGTTTAGGGGAATGAGTGTAACGGAGGCCAGCTAGCGAAGTGCTATGCAGGTAAACCTCACTTCTCTGACCTCAAAAGGTGCTCTAGCGACAGATATTAGAGGCCATGGTCTTTAGATCCTTGTCTTTAGACTCCCATGCAGAGAATCACTGGTTTGGTCCCATTAATTTAGATCGACTGGGATGATCAAGTCTTTTTCTATGCAGCGCATCTGCCTCAATGATAATAAATTACAAGCAAAAATAAATAAATATATAAACAGTGCTTTATGGTTTTCTGTCGAATCTAACCAGAAATTCAACAATCAAATGTAAACTAACATGGTCTTCATTCTATGAATAATAATGAAAAAATATCTAATATCTAAAAATGTCTTTATCTTTTAATCTTTAATATGTAATCTAATACTGTGATGTAACTATTATACACACATTGCAGTATCAATGCTCAAATGATATATTGTTCATTTGTACATTTGTGTTATAAACTGAAGTTTGTGCATGCATCATGCTTTAGTGTAACCCTTAATTTTGCATTTCTGCATACGATGGATTTGTTTTGTACATTTGAGGATTTGAAATGTTGGGAAATAAATGTTATATTTATAATCAATGTAATCCTTATGGAGGTGGGCTGCTGTTATGAGTCTGTATACAGTACGCACACGCCAGAAAACTAGGACCTGAAAGAAAACAGTGAGGTGTCCATGGCAACATAGCTTAAAGGCGGATTAACGAGCTGAAGAGCGCTCTCATTTAGCCTCGATCTCTCCCTTTATTTTAGAACACATAAGGCTTGTCTTTGAGTTTAAACACAAGTACATGAAAATCAGTGTTGAATATGTAACTGAATCCAAATTATGTAAAAGGGTTTTTAATCCATGCATGTGTTTGTATGTTTTGTGAAAATCTAATTGGGAAACTGTGTTGTGTCGCATTATTGAATTATGAATTTACGGTAAAGTTTAGATACATTGCATTGTCATGATGGGAAAATTCTTTTAAAGTGCAGTTTTCTATGTTTACTGAGTTTTTAATGATTATTGTTGGTTGAGGATGTGATATAACCCAGCAAACAATTTTGTGTTTAATAAATGTCTAATAGACATCTAAACGTAGACAGCCCGGCTAAAACAAGGCTAAACTTGGGCTGCCAGTAAAAATCTAATAGACATCTTAAAATAGTCCAAGATTAGTCGTCAAATAGACAGATTAGACAGACTTTATATGTGTAGTCATTCATTTCTGTTGATTTGACGACTAGTCTAGTTTTGGCTTACTTTTAGATGTCTATTAGATTTTCACTGACAGGTTAAATTTAGCCTTGTTTTAGTCAAGACAACGATGTTTAGACATCTATTAGACATCTTTTAAAAACAAAAAATGCTTCCTGGGAAGTCTTTTATAGAGTATTTCTCATAACCAACAGGACATTTTGCAGATAGCTTGATTTTTTTTTTTTTAAGGTTTTCCTGCTTATTATAAAATTTAATCAGTCTAAAAATATTTTGTTTCATAGGACATGTGTTAGAATTCATACTTGAAGCAGTTTTTTATGCTTGTAATTATTATAATGAATTTAACCCAACATATAGAAGAATTTATTAGATTGTGTATTTTTTACTATTTAAAACCCATTTATCGATTCAACATTTTAACTAGATGGCCAAATGTACACACAGAGATAGCCTGATTTTTTTTAAATAATATATATATTATATATTTTTCTCTTCTTAACAAAGGACACTTTACATATTTGATAATTGTCCAACCTGACTAGTCAGATTTATGTATGCATGCGCATGTGTGTGTGTGTGTGTGAGTGAGTGAGTGTGTGTTCAAAATGGACTGCATAAACCAACTGTTAAAACAGCTTAATCTCGCCTTTGGTGTATATCTGTATTCAAATGCACTAATTAGTCTTCCTTTTTTTCTCTCTCGCATTGTATTCACATATATTTGATGTATATAGCATTTGTGTGTATATATTATATTTTTACTCATTATTAACAATATTTTTGGGCACGTCTTTAATGCCTGTAAGCCAAAATGTACAAGCTTAACTTGAGACGAGCATGTATTTAATTATTTGTAAATAAAGTAATTGTTTTCAACTAACAAAAGTGTTTTTTTGTTGTTGTTTTTTTGGACATCCGTTTAATAAAACGTCTTTCAAATAAAAAGTCTCTGGGACTATTTAAAAGATTTAGTAAAAGACACTGTAAAACAGGGTTTTGTAATTCTAAAAACAACTATTTCATAAATACATATTTGTATTTACAATAATGTTTCTTCATTTTGTAAATCTTATTTTTAATCATTCCATGTGAGAATTAGACGTTGTAGACAACATAAACACGCCTCTCATTATTAAAGTGACCAATCAAAGTGGTTTATTTAGAAACTAATTTCAAGAGGATCGCTTGCTTTTGATTGCTTGCAGCTGGCACCACATTATTCAATTTATGATTCACCAATCAGACGATTCCTAAGCCACTATAAATACCCTAAGTTCCATATAACAGCCATCTTTGTTTTGAAGAATCCCCTCTTCCACCCCTACTCCTCCTCCTTTCCTAGATGGATGGCAATGTGGCCCAGTGGTTAGCACTGTTGCCTCACAGCAAGAACGTCACTGGTTCTAGTCCTTACCAAGCCAGCCAACATTTCTGTGCGGAATTTACATGTTCTCCCCGTGCTCAGGTGGGTTTCCCCCGGCTTACCCGGTTTCCTCCCACCAACCAAAAACATGCAACTTAAGTTAAGCTAATCCAAATCTGCACCATACATGCACCTAGTAAGTATCTCTTAAGAGCAATCACTATCTGTTTATTAGCTACTACAGCAGGGGAGTTCTCGGGATCTACCTGAGCTCAATCTCCCCTCTCGCCTTGCAAATGGGAGGGAGCCCCAAGCTCGAGGATCTTATGAGCTCAAGGCTCTCTCCAGGGACAGCTTACCAAACAATTTTTATAATCAGTCATAAGCTAAGTGTAACTCTTGAAATAGATATTAAAATTCCACCATTTTATGTCAGAGTTTGGTGCCAAGTTTCCAGTAAGTGTGTCATCATCAAAGTTGTAAGGGAAAGTCCAGGTGAGTAAACCACTAAAATTCAAATGAAATCAAGTGATAACATTGTGACAGAATGTAGTTTTCTTTACATTTAGTTCTATAGGCTATTTCTCTGTTTAATTATGTTAATATGATGTCTGAAATAGGCTATTGTTGTGAATGGAAGTGATACAAACAACTGGAGTAAGGATCCACATGCAGGTTTAATCAAAGTCAGGCAAGCGATGGTCAACACAGGTACAAACAGGCATTTGGAGACAATCCAGAAACACAGTCGAATACAGGCAAGAGGTCAGAAAGGCAGGCGGCAGGCAAAGACAAAGAGGCTAACAAGGCTAACGGTCGATACATGGGATAACAAGACTGGGAAACGTGTTGTAATGCTACTGTGAAAGATAACAAGACTCGGCCAACTGGAAGCGTGAATGTGTGGCTTAAGTATGGTGTGATATCAGTCTGTGACAAGGTTCAGCTGGTGAT